TGCTGAAAATATTGACTGGTCGTCGACCAATTTTTGGATGATTAATAACTTTAAAAGCAATTATGCAAAACTGGTTATCGACCAATCAACATTTTATAGTAAATTATACTACTTTAAAAATGTTGATTAAATATGTGCTCTGGAAAAAAAAGATAAATATGTAGTAGTTTTATTATATTGTAAAATAACATAAATAAAAATGCTTTTAAAAAGAAAGACTATAAAATTGTAATAATTATAATTTTTATAATCCGAGAAAATGAGTGTCTTGAGTTAAATTTTGTATTATTTAAATTCATTTTAATTGATCAAATTAAATGATTTGAAACAAGACTAGGTTAACATATACCTACAATTATTGTACTTGAACTGTTGAAATGTCCAAATTATTGTGTTTATTTTATAGAATTTTAACCAATCCACTTATTTGTATACAGTTGTACTTATTGGTTTTAATTAGTGTTGCTGAATATAATTAACGATAGTATATTATTAGTAGTATTGTACTACAAATATACTAAATAGTATTATGTAGTTTTTTACTCATGCATAGAATTGGTCAAGTATTATATTGTACAACATGTACCTATATATAATTTGTATTATTATTATTTGACCGTCTTGTGTTGTGTAAGTTTAACAATGTCATTGATCACATAAATCTTCCAAAGATTAATGTCTCTCATAAATTATCAATTTTATTTACAGTTGAACTCTATTAAAACAGACAAGGTATAATAAAGTGGATTATTAAGTTAATTTCCATTTAGAACATAACAACACTATGAGGATAGTATAAAGGTTTTAAGTAAAAATTATTTTTTTTTTTAGTGTTCCTTAAGTAATAAAATGTATTTTTTCATTGGATTTTAACCAAACAAACTGCGTGACAGTAATTCTTATTATAGTGTTATTAATTAGTGTTTCTTTATTACATATTTTATAATGGATTTTTTTTTTTTTTACATAATATGGTGAATGCATATTTTTTAGGTTATTTAAGTACATTAGTTATTAATATATATATATATATATTTTTTTTTTTTGGTTGCGCGCAACCGCTTTTGAGAATTGGATTACAAGTTGTAATACTATTTTTTTTCCCTGAAATTTCGTCTGGTTTTCTAAATGCAGCACAGTTGTCGTTGGCGACTGATATTTTCTCTTCAAATATGCAACAATCGATCATGATCGGCCGTCAATGGTCGATGAATGACTTTCATGAGAACAAAATACACATAAACGACTGATGCGAACCGTATCCAGACTATGTCAACGATTTTTGTATCTTCTATATCAGTCTCCACTATCGCTTACGGTTATTGTTGCCATTTTAATAGGTTTCATATTATTATAGTGCGTTCGGTCTAGAAACCTTATGGATTCGAATGTATTGAAGTTTGCTCTTCGTGAAGTTTTAAGACACACGACTTGAGTCCCCTCGTTTATTGAACATGGCCTGATTAAGACGTTTTCAACCACAAGACAGAATATCTTTGTAGTCCCATTGCCATACATATTAAATAAATAACTCTCCGTTTACTTTTACTAGGAGCCAATTGAATGACAATAACAATAACCGTTTTCTTTTTACATTAATGTTTAATTTTTACCGACACTTAACTTATCCCATCTCGAAATTCAACCCCAATACATTTTAAAAGCTCAAAGCAACTCCAAAAAGTAACAAAATGACCTGTATATTTCAACCATGCCTAAACCTAACTGATCTTTTATCAACTGTTAACTATTTTCTTATCACTTATACTTTATCAGCTGTCTCGTATCACCATCCATAATCAGCTGTTTTTATCATTGTGTTCTTATCAATAATCCTTTATCAGATGATCTTATCAGCATACGAGACGCTAATTATTGAATGACCAGCGGCCCAAAATCATGGCAATGTTAATAAAAATAAGGCTTGCTAGTGGGAAATATAATTTAAACTCGTTTAAAAAGTTCATCTTAGAGCAACATTTTGATATGGCCCACTTCACCACTGAGGAGAACCTCATACCGGTGAAAGTGGAATACTATTGACAAAGCTTTAAAATAATAAAAATAGCAATTGGTAGAAAATATAAATATAAATTGGATTGGATTAGATAGATTCACATGTACACCAAATGAAACCAATGTGTTAATGTTTGAATAATATCTTTTTGGGATGCTCACAACTTGCATCTTGGGGCCATATGCATGTTCTTAAAGATTCTGCCCATCTTGCCTAATGAATAGTGTATTGCTCCTCTCAGACATTACAATATGAACTTCATGAAATCAATTTTTTTTTTTTTTGATTTGCTACTGTTATTGATTTACAGACCGTTCCAAAACGAACACAATAAGTGCTATCCGTATATTGCATTCGTTTTACGGTTTATACTTTCACGAGTATTATGTATAGATGTGAATATACATTTTCTGTTTTCAATAAAAAACATACCGGAAATTTTTGTCGACACGCCACGTAGATTCGTCACTTCCATCTTGTGATTTCTTCTTGACCGGTCGAACTCTTCATGGACGTTTCTGTATTATTATTATTTAATCGCCGTGGAATCAAATTTTTTACAATAGAATGCAAAAAAAAAAAATCAATATGTTTACCTGTTTCCCACGCCATAACGGTATTCGACAAAAGATCAGGTCTTCGCGTCTGTCCAAATGGCCAAATTTTATTACTTTGTTACATAACAAGATCATTTTTTTTTCAACTTTATTTTATCACTTACTCTTTCTCACTACTTTTCTCTCCAACCCAACCTTATGCTTTTTTTAAGCTTATCAAGTAAAAAAAAACAATAATTTAGAGTACATAATATTGTGTTGAAACGTTTTCAATATTCTAAACGACAATATTATAATATTTTTTTGTACCGATAACTAAAGGTAAGGTAATCTGTGACCTAACCTAAGTTTTTATAATTATTAGTATTTATTTAATCACAAATAGTCAGAAGAATTGGCAATAAGAAAATTATTAACATCCATTTCTTACATTAAATACAATTTTTAATTTAACATGTGTAGAAAACTATTTTATACAGTTGGTACTCCTGCACGGTAGGTTGGTACAGTGACCGAGACAAGCATCAAATACATAATATTACAGTTTTTGGTGTACTTAACACGTGCAACAGGCCTTCCTGTTGCACTGAAGATTCAATCATTCTAATTCAGTTTTTAAACTTTAAAACTAATTTTTTAACATACTAAACTGAGAATTGTTATTTATTAAATGTATAGAAAATATTATAGTATTTCATGAATATCTCAAGTAAAATGTAATCCCTCTAAACAATTTTGTCTAGGTAGGTATTAATAACAATCATTTAGTAGAAAATTATTATTATTTTAACCGATTTCCCCGTTGGTGATGATTTATTACCGAACGTTTCTATATTTTAGACAGCACTTATAATATGTATAATATAGACAGGTTTTTTTTTTGTCTATACTTAATACTCCTCACGACTGATCGTGTGTACCTGATATAATAACAATGTTCGATGCATGTCCATTTCTGAATGGTACGCTTGCATGTGATTAGAAAACGTCCATCCAATAGTGTATAATTGTTATTATATTGTAATTTAAGAATATTATTTGGTATTTTTGGTGTTGCATTAATGACGTGCACGGGATATTTGAAAGTAAAAGAAGGAAATTGGGCACTAAACCGTTTCCATAGATTGTACAAGAGAACTGTATAATTATTAACAACTTTGTCTTGCTACACAACTTGACTGTACTTAACCATATATTATTAAAAATAGCTTTTGCTTTAATCCATTTGAATCTATCCTCAATGGTCTTCATGCACATTTATTATGATCACCTGTGGGTCTTTACCTCACACAGGGTCCGCCCAAATTAGGAGTTTGATACATTTGGTGCACTCGTTCTGTGTTCTTCTCCTGTATACTTTATCTTCTGAATTTGGACCATATATCCGTCAAAGTATTATTCTCTCCAATATGTGTACGTTAAAAATGGTAGCAGACAATTCCAATACAGTCTATAAAAATACCAAGACTCCAAGTGAACACCAGGATCACCATCAGGTCTAAATGGGGAATGTAGAGACTTAAAAATGTGCAAAAAAATCAACCCTGCGGTGCGTGACATGATTCGTTGATAGAACTTCTTATGATATAATCCACCTTACAGTTATCTACCAACTTATCGTATGAAATAACATTGTCGCCTATTTAAGCACTACTCTTAATATAAATAAATAATGAACGATTTCTGGCGGTGTTAGGTGCACTCCAAGTGTATTAGGAGTCCTATTTCAATCCTGACTAACAGGACTTTCCGCAAAAGGGCTAGTACCACAGATTAGATAAAACCAGAATAGTACAAAATATATTCGTGAACCAGATGGTGCTCGAGTAGTTTTTTACCTTTTGATCAGAAGTTTTGACAGTTTTTTTCGAGGAATAATAACTCTTGTTGGCCACATCAAAGTATATCCAATTTATTTTTTGTGTGTGATCAACCCTAAGGTTAGTTTTGCAGTTTCCCATAGTTTCTCCACTCATCTCTATTACCTGCTAGCCTCTCTTCCATTCCTTGTAATTTTCTAAACCTGCATCGGATATCATCTTTTTAATGTAAGATTCTTGGTTGTCCTCGATCTCTTTTGCTATTTATCTTTCCTTCTATTATAATTTAAAGAACTTCTTCTTCGTGTCTCAGGACATGACCAATCCTATTCTATCTTCTTTCTTTAGCAGTTCAGCTTTTTTTTAGCAGTTTCCTTACACTTATGCTCATGATTTTAGAGCACAGTAGGTTTCTATTGTTCGTGAATGCTGTTTTTGCTTGAGCCATCTTTGATTCCATGGTAGATTTTCCATCTTGGTTAATTATACAACCAAGATTACTGAAGCTGTCCACTTGGTCGAGTGTGTGGTTATCAATATTAATTTCTAATCTATGAATTCTACATAATATCCAATATCTCAACCAATATGTATATTTTTTTCCAGGACCGCCACGTGCAATTTGTCGTCAGTCCCGTGGCATCGTCCCGCGAACACAACGTCGGCCCGTCTTTATCGCCAGCACAACAAAAACATATACTGGAAGACATCCGGAATCGTCAGCAAGAAGACGTCGACAACAATGCCGGAAGTAAGGAAGACTCGAGCGCGGAACAGTCTTCGTACGAGAACGCCGTTACCGTCGATCATTCCAGGCAAAGGTCTATGTCGTACGTGACGACCGGTGCGAGCAACGTGCACCACCAACACGGGATAGCCGACTTACCCAGATACCAACAACACGAGTCCCTCATCAACAACAACAACAACAACAACTATTACCCCACGAACAGGAACGGCGGACCCGACACCGTCGGACTGCTTTCGCCGCCTCCGCCTCCTCCGCCTCCTGCTTTCCAAGCACTTCCGCCGACGCCAGACTATTCGGCCAACAGGCGGCGCATCGCCAGCGGAGGAAACAATCAAAAGTATCAACAACAACAACAACAGTACCAACAACAACAACTTCCCAGCCTCCAAGCGCTGCCTCCGCCGTCCGATTTGAACGGTCACGCCGGACACTACATACAGCCCAAGCAGGAAGCCAACGACAATTTCTTCTACAGACCCGACGCAACTCACAACGTCGGCCAAGACGTTTATCAAAGCGCTGCGCCGTCGCCGTCGACAGTAGCCAATCAATATCCGTATTTCGGCGGCAACCAGCCGTCGCCGTCGCCGCCGCCGCCCACTGTGTTCCCGTTCAAACCGTCGCCGGCGCTCGACCCGGAACCGCCGCGGGAACCGAGCAACGACGACAGCGAAATCGAACAGCAGATACGCCAACAGCTGCAGTCGAGCGTGCCGACCTCGTCGTCCGGGTCCGTGTCGTCGTCGGCCATCAACAACCTGTTGAAAAAGCATAATCCAAACACCCGGTTCACGATTCTGAACGCCCCGGACGACTTCAACATGGCCAACCTGTCGGCGCTGCCCGGCCTGCCGGCCGACCTGTTGGCCGGGTCGTCGGGCCAAAGCGAATTCGTCCAGGTGGGCGCCAACGGGCAGCAGCTCATCCAGTTGCCGCCGGGAATCGACGTGTCCAGCATACCGGGTCTGAGCAACGCCATAAAGAGCATATCGGCGGGCGCCGACGGCAAGACGTCCAACACGGCCGCCGTGAAGACCGTCGTGATCCGACAAAAGCCGACGCCGAGCAACTCCACGGCCACGACCACCACGACGACGACAACGGCGAAACCGCCCAGCGTCGTTCTGGAAGAGCTCACCCGGAACGTGCTGCCTCCCGGCGCCGACTACCAGGTGATCCGGCACGATCCCGAAATGGGTCTCCTGGAACAAGTGCAACTGGACGCCCAGAACAAGTTCGGCTCGGCGCCCGGCTCGGCGCCGTCGTCCAACAAGAAGGTGACTTTCGTGATCCTGGAAGAGCGGCCGGACGGCACGGTCCGCGTGCAAGGCGTACGAGACAACAGCGGAGGCAGTAGCGGCGGTGTCTCGGGATCCGCCGGTGTCGCAGGCGACAGCTCGGCGTCGGCTTCGTCGTCCACGTCGTCCGAGTTGAACACGATCATCGACAAGCTCAACAGGGGCGAGCTCAAGTTGCCGCCCAGCAGCATTTCGAACAGCCCGAAAAAGTCTACCGCGAGCAAGTTCCCGGCCATCCTAAAGCCGGCGTCGACCACCGCGACAAAGGCAGCCGCCACTTCGACCACACTGGCTCCCGTGCCGACGCCGCTTTTGGTGGACCGGTTCAACGACCACGACACCTACGCTCAGTTGAGGCCGTCGTCCGTGTACAAGGGAACGACGTCGTCCCAATCGGGATCCACCTCGATCAATCACCAGATCAACACCGGCAAGAAGAAACCCTCAGACTATTTTGGCGAATACTCGGACGACTTGGACTTTGTGAAACCTTCGGCAGGCGATCCGGACAAACGGCAACCGAACAGCGACGTTTTCTTGCCGACCGCCATCACCGCGGTCAACTCGGCCACCACTGCCGGCAAACCCCAGCACTACACGCCCACCAGCACGTCCAGGCCCAGCACGGTGTCCTGGAGTAAACCGTTGGGCAACATCAAGAACACCGTCAACTCGTTCCCGTCGCTGGACATCTTCAAACAGACTTCCAATTCGCACGAACCGCCGTTCGCGCTCGACGACAGTTTCGGCGGCTACAAACAAAACGACGAAGCCGACGGATTCCAAACGGAGACCAACAACAACGCCGGCCAGCCGTCGTTCACGTCTCAACAGTCTTCTCTTTATCCTTCGACGCTCAGCAGTGTCTTGAAGAACAGAGGATTCTACGCCATGGCCAAGTTTCTCAGACAGTCTGGCTTGGACTCGATCCTGAACGACACCATGGGTATGGACAGTTGGACATATTTTAACTTATCAATTTATAATAGTGAACCAAACATAAACGATTTAAAGGAGCATTTAATTTGTTTACTCCCAGACTGAAAACAGATTCAGTTGTCACTGGCTTTCATCGTTTTTAGCTTTGGTTAACCTAACTTTTTTTAAATAAATATGTTATCGTGTTGGACACAATCAATTTTATATCGCCATTTTCGCATCACACTTTCAGTAAGACATAAGAGATAAGTGATAAGAAATAAATGATAAGAGATAACATATCCATGATTCAATTGTTTTCCGTGGAGCTGAGAAAATAACTAAGTTTTTTTATACATCGACTATTGAGGGGGAACTATTGATCACATAACTATCCTTAGGTTAACCTAACTACACTTGAATAACGTTCCTTATACCGCAAATAATCTCTAATCTCTCGGTCCTAGAAAATTTTCGCGTGGCCACTTTGGTGGTATAAAATAATTTATATTAACACACTTTCAGCACATAATAACATTGTGGCACTAAAAGCGTACGATTCATTTAATCTAAAGAAATATCTCGTTTTCCAAAGCGAAAACAGTACTTAAATACAATTTTGAAATCATTTTCTAAACGTTTGATTACAACACAGCAGGCACTAGATAATAGTATGCTATTTTTGTTTTTTGTAGGACCTTTTACCATATTCGTGCCTACAGACAAAGCATTCCGTTCACTGTTAGTACAATTGGGCGGACCCGACAAAGCGGACGAAAAATTTAGAGAGAACCCGCGACTGTTGATCGGGGTAAGCGATTAACGGCTTTGATGAAATTAATAGATGTACAATGATAATAGTCAATTGTTTGATTGTTTGTTTATTTTGCAGCTCCTTTTGCACCACGTCATACCCGGAGCTTTCTCTTTGAAATCGCTGCAAGACGAAATGACCGGCGTCAGCTTGGCCGGCACTCAACTTCGAGTCAACACTTACACCACACAAGACGTGGAATGGAACGACATAAAGGTGCGGATAATAATAACCGTTTTTTGACATTTTATTCGAGCATAACCCTAACCACAATACACCATACGCCTTATCATAGCCATAACTCAAGCCCCAACAAAACCATAGCAACGTTCCTGAGAAAATGATCTTGCTTTTCAAACAGTTCCCAGGACTCTAGGACCTATATTTTAGAAATTATGTCCATTAAAGTGATTTTTTTATCCACATGGCTATCTGAAAAGTCTAAAACTCAACCTGTTCTGGCAAAACGTGTTTACCAAATTCACATATAAACTGCATGGCGACTCACCTGTGAAGATTCTGCAACGTTTTTAGGAGCAATATTTTAGAAATATGAGGGGTTCTGTGAAATTGTTGACCGAGGCCTAAAACTGAAATTTCAATATGATAGCAATACTTCTTGATATAAAAACAATTAGCTACAACTTAACTCTGACACCAACCGTAACACAGGTAACCCTAACTATAACCACACCTAACCACGACATAACTCCATCCCTGCTCTAACCCTGACCACGATCCTAACCCCAACCCTAACCATAACTTTATCTTCCGATTGAATATATTTTTGATATTTACAAAAAATGTTCATACTTGACAGGTGATCACCATTAACGGGGCACGCGTTTTGGACGACAAAAAAGACATTATCATCAACTATCCACCTTCCGGGTCGACCGCTTCATCCCACGGCGCATACAGCATGGCACACGCTATAGACAGGGTGCTGTTCCCCTTGCCGGTGGGCGACTTGTTACAAACTTTACAGTCGGACCGGGACCAGAGGTACATGGAGTTCCTGAAACTGGTCCGGTACTCCGGCATGGCTTCGGTGTTATCAGGTAAGAACAAAACAATTAGTTACCTATCTTGTTAAGTAAGACGGCTGTTCACCATGAGCTGCTATTGAAATGTATGCATTGATTATCACTTTTAGGGTCCAAAACTCACACGTTGTTCGCTCCTATCAACCGAGCATTTTTGGGCAACAGCAACGCGTCCAGACTGTTGGAACGGATCGAATCCTCTTCGGCGCCACAAGACCAGGAAGAAGAATCCGTAGCCGACGAAGCAAAGGCTTTGGTCATGAGGCACATGGTACCCAACGCGGCACTGTACACGGCTGGCATGAAGTTCTATCAAGTCAAAGAGAGTCTACAGAAAAACTCGGCAACGCCTTCGGTTCAGCTGACGATTTACAAAGACGCGGGTGAGTACATTGTGCACAAACCAAACAAAACCGGATAGTGCAATCTAAAAAAAAATGTAAACAAACTTTAATAACCTCAGTGTTGGCAAAAAATTAAAAAAAATAATACTCCTGTTTTACAGTGTAGCTGTTATCACTTTTGTTATCACCATCAACCTTCGTTTATCAACTACCTACTTGTTATCAGCAATTCATATCAGTTTACGTTATTATTGTAAATAATGTGGTACAATATTTTCGGCACTATAATTTGGCCCTACTGCGTTCATTTTAAACCAATCAAAAATCGTCATTTGACAATCTATTGTTTGCACTGTCTGGTTTTGTGTAATCTGCGGTACAAGCTTTGGCCTTGGCTAAGACATAGGGTCATAGGCGGACTTAAGATTTTATTCTTTATACATTGAAATAATTATAGCACGGAACATCCTTTAGCCTTGGCCTCTCGGCTCCAAAAACGATACAAAATAGCGTCACGAAAGTAGCGCGAAAGTGGCACGATCTAGCGGTGTTTTTTTTTTTTAAATATGTATATTTATAAATGTGTATAAAACGTGTTGAAGCAAGTCACTAGATCTGGCACAATTATTATATAATAATAATTATATTCAGTGCATCAAATATAAACTCATTACTAACTTATTCACAGCCATACATTTTGTTTAATAGATAAATCGATTTACATTCACATTGTTTTAAGTTAACCCTGAAAGGTACGATGTACCCTATATATTAATATATGAATGGTTTTATTGAATACTATTTGATCGGAACAGCACATGTTTTATCCGGATACCAACCAGGTACATTGGCATCATTGAATCTAATTATTATTGTCTCAATTTTGTTGCACTTTAGGTAGAGTCAGGGTGAACTCGGCCAACATCATAGCGCGAAACATACCCGCCACAAACGGAGTGATACATGCCATCGACTCCTTGTTATAAGACTCTAGACTTGGGGAAAAAAAAGGTACATGTTTGTGTATTTACTCGTCATATTACCAAATTTTATAAAAAAAAAACCCCCCCTTCCAACCTCCAACAACTGTCCTTAAATCCTTAATAAAATTGTTTTTTTTATTATTATAAGTATGAATATTTATTTTTGATAATTTAATTTTTTGCTTTAAAGTGTTTTTTTATATATACATATATATATATATTAGATTATCTACCTATTATAAATTTGATTAGTAGAACAGGTTTGTTTTATACTATTGAACTTTATTACTTATTATAATAATTGTTAATAATTAATTTTATTAAATTGTTTAAACTTATTATTAAACATATCGAGTAGTTTAAAAATAGTTTTAGGTAGTATTACAAAAAAAAAAAATGTTGTATCGTTTATTACAATAAATATTATACAATTATTATTTTGGTTTTTTAGTAGTAAAACACGGTGAAAATCATTACATACAAAAACTATTCTGGTACAAAATAAAAAAAAAAATTGTAAAAAATAATGACAATAATATAAAATTGTTACAATAAATAAAAATGTATAGAAAACAAATCGTAAAAAAAGTAAATGCTGTTAGTAATTATTACTATAAAGTAAGTAATGCAATTACCATTAAGTTTATTGGTCTTAAGTAGAATACTATTTTTCCCGTATGATTAAACAAAAATGAATCATTTTCAGTTTGCACGCTATAATACTGCTATTAACATAATATTCTTTCTTCTTCCTTATTTTGGTTTCGGTCATTTAAGACAATACCGTTAAAATACGATACATTAATTAAATTAAATAAATAATTGTTGGCACAAGTTAAAATTTGTAAAAACATACAAAAATAAATCATTAAAGATTGCACAAACACACAAAAAAAAAATGAGTATTATTTGTTAATTAGTTACAATATTGTAATATTTGTTTAAAGGCAATTACCGTCAAACATATTATATAAAAAAAATGTAAGTAAGCACACAACACAAATAGAATATGTAAAATATGTTATTTCTAAAGACAACAAATATTATATAAATTATATTTATATAGAATATTTACTATGATATATATTTAAAAAAAAGAGAGATCTGAATAAATAATTAGGAAACATAAAGTTTATCGCATTTTCTTATTTTCAATAATACTGGTTAAGTATAATATAAGCTATAACTAAGGCTGTTAAGGTTGACTGGGTTTTTTTTCTATTTGACTACTCGGTTTTGGTCGTTAACGGTCGACGAAAAACCATTAACTGAACAGCCTCAATTATGCCTAAAAATACTTTAAATGGTTCAATACATATTGTTAAGCACTTGCCCAATGCAATACAAGGTTAATTAATTTTAATACCTAGTTAAGTAACGTTACTTATTATAGATTTTAATTAAATTTGGTATTAACCTTTTTGTCAGTCCTAGTTTGCAAAAAAAAAAATCCCACTTTTTATGCCAGCTACAATTTAAAACTATAGATATATATATATATATATGTTTTTAAAGACTTTTAATTAAAAAATTAAACGTACCACGACGATACTTTGGGCTATTTAAAAAAAAAAAAACCGTAGTCAGTAAAACTAAACGGCAGTTTGTAAGGGTGCCGTTACGTTTTCACCGACTCGGTCTTTTAACGTCTTGGGACTTTCACATTTCTCCGACATTACGCGCAATATCGCTCGGAACTTTTCATGACGTTGCCACATGCAACTAGCATCGGATTCAATATCGGCTGCTACGTCCAGTCTGCCGTCTACGTCGGTCGAAGTCGGTGTTTGATCGGCGTCCTCGAAACCATCGTTGGTCTGTGGCGGTTTTTGACTGGTCACGGCTTTGCTGCCCCAAAGAAACTTCAAAAGAAACTCGGTGCTGAACAAGTCCAACAGCAACTGATCGACAGACATGGAATTTGGTAACGGCGCTAAAGATTTGTTAGAAGAACACTCCCGTGGGTTGATCGCAGGCAATACGGTATTGGCGTTGCGACGGTATTCGTTAAGGGCCCGGAGATGTGACCTGGCCGCCTGCATGTGATTCAACAACGTTTGCAAACCAAAATCGCCATTGCCCGTGCTGAGTGAACCGACCGAAGTACTCAGAATGTTTTCGTCAAACGATAGCTGATGATTAAGCGTACTGGCCATTGAATTTACGGTACCTAAAAGCAAACACGGTGTTATTAAAAAAAAAAAAATTAAATAATGTTATTAGCGACAAACTCTTCATAAATTATAATTATTAAAAATTATTTTATTATTACTATGAAATATTTCATCATAGGAAATGGCAAAAAAAATGTTGAAGCCAAATGGAGATTTATTTTGCTACTTTTTCAACAAAAAAAAAAGTGACATTTTTATGTTCAGTGTTAATCAAAGATGATTATCAGTTAAGATTTTTAGATTCATGGTTACATAAATTATATTAATAAATAAACAGTTAACAAAAATACTAAAGTAAGTGTACTTACTAAATACTTTTTACACATAAAATAAAATAAAATGTATACATAGTAATTACTAGATTATACATTTTGAGTTTTACATCTTTAATTAGATAGTTAAAAAGTGAGTTATGAAATGCAAGTTCTTTTTTAGATATTATATTTAAAAAAAAAGTTGTTAAGCATTTGAAATTTAAATTCTGTATTTAATATTTTGAAGCCATTCCTTTGTTTTTTTTAATACTAATAGATAAAACTCATCAAAACCCATAATTTTAGTATAGAAAGTCGTTTTAGTTCTATTTTTCATAGCTTTGAAATATTAAAACCCTGATTTTTTGGCTTTGTAATTATTTTGGAAAACTGAAATCTTATTTTGTATAAACCTAATTATGAATTTTTGCAATAAAAAAATGGTAACATATGAATCCCGTTGATTAAAGTTGAAACCAACAAAATTACAACTGTCTGTAGAATTACAAATATTGATATAAGCATTGTACCTAATGACAATAATGTGCTTAAAAAATGTATATTTTCTATTAGGGTTTACCGTCTGTCTAAAAATCAGACCTTAAACCATAAAACTTCACCCGAAAAATGTTCAACCCTTCTCAGGGAAAAGGTTTATGATTTTTGTTTGGTTTGTCAACGTTCATCGATGCAGTACTAAGGCTTAAAGAACAATTTTTTTTTTTTAAAGAATGTCCAAAGAATAATGTCAAAAGTTTGGAACAAATTCTACTATTTAATAAAAAAAAAAAGTTTTAGCGTAATACCGTTGATTTCTTGTTCGTTGCTCCTATTGACGTTATTGTTATAAGTAGTATGGGGCTGTTGGCTTTCGAATATTCCGGTGCTGCAGACGTGAATTTTTTCATGAACCCAAAGTATGGGCATTAAGTGAGGTATAGTGGTGTTTGGAGCTTGAGGATTAGTACCGCGGTCCATGCTCAGCCACTGGGGTCGTAGTTTCGCTTCAAAGTTAAACGCCGAATCGGTGTAATTTTTCCTAAGGGCCAGCCAAAGATCGCTCAACCGTTGTATCTATAAAAATGAAAATCATTTTCATTTGACATCGGAAACAATTTAGTTGTATTCAACACTTTGGTTAGTTAATATTTTCACTTACACTGGAATCGCACAGACCCGACATGATAGAGGAAAAACCGTACAAATTGCCCAATGCAGTTTTCAAATCAATCGCTACCTGAATCCATTTGTCCAACAGTTGAGCTCTGTTTTCCAAAGTTTCACAAGTCAATATGGTGACTGCAACTAAGAACTTTACACACTCATTTCTGTAAACAGAAAAAAAAAATGTATTTTAAAATTGTTTGGCAAAATTAGTTAAGTCTCAAGGGCACACGATACCTTTCAATAAGATCCAAACGTCGACGATGGCCTGTCGGCAACAAGCACAATTCCAACGGACAACTTGTACTGGTTAAAACGGTTTTTTTTATGCTATTGTCAGTAGACGACATGGAATTCTCGTCGGCCGCTCGAATGTCTATATTTTCAGTGTACCCTTGCGACGCTTCTTTCTCGTTACCAAATAACGTGATCGATAAGTCCACGTAGGTTATGTGATTGGCCAAAACTCTCGAACACGTCTGTTGTATCATCCAATGTACTCCTTCAAGAGCCGTTCCGTCCAAGGGTTTATTACCTTCCAAAGTGGATGGCAACAACAAAGTTTGAAAATTGTCTAAATCGGCAAACAACGATTTACAATCGGTACGAGATCCGTCCGACGTTGTATACACATTTTTCTTTACCGATCCGTCATTTTGAAACGATAAATCCAAACTAAACTTTTGTCCACTCATTGCGGGTAATGGATGTTTTATCATTACACCGCCGCCAAAGTTGATTGGAGTTTGTTGCTTTTTTAAAGTGCCGTTATTGCCATCGTTTTCTCCTTGACTCGACAGTCCGTCAGTCGACGGTAACTCATTGTTCGTACTTGTAACTGGATAATTTTTATATATATTTGAAATGTTGCTATTGGACGACACAACAGAACTGGCAGTAATATAACTAGCTGATAGATTTTTGTGGTTAGGCAATTTATCGTTTGAAATATTTTGTTTGGTTGCGATCTTTGCTGATCTAGGCATTGTACTGCTAGAACTACTTACATTCGGGCTAATTGAGGATAATCTTGACGATATTTTACCACTTCCAGTGCGTGGTAATGAATTAGTTGAGCAAACCAATGACGAAATTCCTGCACGTAAAGATCCTTTTTCTAGAGAGTGTTTCCTTATGTTGTTTCTCATTTGTTGTTGTATATTTTGTACAGCTTGCTTTGCCGGTATTTTCGGAGGTGTAATATTTCGAGCACTACCGGAAGTGGTTGTTGGAAACTTATTGTGTAAAATATCTTCTAAAGACGACGAGAAAAACAGCGAATCGCTTTTACCCACAACTCGAAAATTGTCGTTGCTACTACTGGTATTTTCGTTCACCTCCATCATCGTCAATGGATATTTTCGGTTACAAGGAGTTCGAATGCGCACCAACGATCCACACGAAATCGGTTGACCACTGCCCACATAAAACGTTATTAAATCAGGTACTGTATCGAAAGAATCTTGCTCGAATCGATATTGAACACGTTTGTAGACAGAATCAGCTTCCAGGACAACCTGAAAATAGTTGAAAATGTGTAAACATCACAAAATTGACGAAAGCTTTAGTACATTTCAAGTTTAAATAACTTAAATAAAATTTAGCTTACGCCATTAACAATGTTATTACCTTATTAATGACAAAATGTAAAACTTGATGATTGAAGTTGGAAGACGCAATATTTAAAGTTTCACTAACATTAGGTCCCAAATTTTTTTTTAATACGAGGCACGATAACACGTAATTTGATGGTTGCGTAGAACAATCTCTGACTAAAAAGTAGCTTCCAAGACTAGAATTTGTAGATTCAATTGTATCACAATCACTATGGTTTGTTTTGTTTGCATATTGTTCATATTCTTCTACGAGCAGCTCTTCAGCCTTCGATCTTGTAATACCGCCATGATACCAAGCATGAGAACGTAAATCTCTCGCATCTAAGCTCATCTCCCACTCTAAAGTTTTTTTAAGTAATAATCTGTCCATTTCACTTTGCATTCGGTCGTCGTCGCCTGTGCCTCTGGCAATATACCTTTGTTGAACCGACATTGCACGAGTCTCTGCAAAATAAAGATAACAATTAAATAGGAGTCTGATTTTTTTTTTTTTTTTATAAACTAAGTATGTTTATTACCTATTTATTTTCATAAAACAACAATATACTCATTGCACGGCTGTAGTTGTAAATTGCTGTATAAATTATTGGAATACAATCTAAGTTACAGTAACATATCAAAAATCGACGGTTTACGGTTATCTATATAAATATTATATTAGGTATAATGTAGCTACTTAAATTTAAATATTACTACATATTAACTATCCTACCTAGAAGTAAAAATGTTTTAGAATACAACAACAATTAATAATTATTGTAAATAAAACTTTATCATCATAAGCAGCTCTTATCTCTCATTTGCATTTGTTGTTTAAGTAAAAAAAACTAAAATGAGGAATGGAGGTAAATATATGCTTTTCTTCCATGCCCAGTTAGGTTATTCCTCCATGGCCTATATGGAGGCAAAATCCATAGACCTTAATAATTATTTTTCATTGGATGGCCAAAAAAATAAACAGGTATGCCGGTATGTATGCAAGCGAAATTTTTACAAAATGGCTGTTGGCGTTCTCCCGTAAGAAACACACGGCCGCCCGAGAAGCGCGGCAGCCATTTTGCGTTTACAACAAACTGCCGACTTACCTGTTAACTTTGTCACGTTTCTTCGTGGGTCGACGAATCGACATTGACCAACAATCAACAAAATGTATTCAAAAGATGTGTTTTTTGACACTTAAAAAGAAGAAGTGGAAACAGAAATTAAGTATTATACGTACTTTTAAAATTATGCAAAAATGTAATTTACAATGTACTTTTTAGTATAATAACCGTGAAAAATTGACATAATATTATTTAAACATTTATTTTTAATTGATTTGTTTATTTAACCGTGAATGTTTTGGTAAAGTCCAAGAAGTCTTTATTACTTTTTTAGTTATGAGTCAATAATAAAAAAAATAGTCTTATAACATGCGAAATACTACTTGATTTCTTGATATTATGCATAAATTTACTGATTATTATAACTTTAAAAAACAATTTTTTTTTTATAGGTAAATAAATTAAATGACCAAAAACGATAGTATAATTAAAATGTCTTTAAAATACTTGTATAAACACAATACCAATTGGTAAGGTTGACTTATTGTGACAACACATCATCTTTTAATTACATTGAGTGAAAAAATATCCTTTAAGAGTACCAATAGTTTTCCTCCTATTTATGTCAATCTAAAACTCTAAAACTAGGATAGCTAAATTTCGATTAAAAAACAGCGAAAATTAAGTATTTGCTTATAACTGTAAAAGTTATGATATTCAATTTCTCTTTTCATCATAACTTCAAGTGTCAAATAATTCATCCTAAAGCATCAAATGTTACATAGTATACGTATTTTAATAATAACAAATAAAAAAATCGTCTGGTAATTAATCTGCATATATGAGTAACCTAACCTATTTTCAAAACCGATTTGGTACCAACTAGTTAATATTGTTATTATAATTTTAATGTTTTGTGTTGAAATAAATTACCTAAACTCATTATTTTACCGCCTATAAAATTTAACTTATTACCTTCAATCGGATTTGGCGGTAAATTGATCTCTTAAACTGATTATGTAGACGTTTAAACTTTAATTTCAAAATGTATTATCTACGTTTTAACAACATTGCAGTTTTATATTATATTATAAAATTATACAACAAATGTATAATAATTTAACATTAAAGTTAGAAAACCATATTTAATTTAATAAACGAAGTTCAATTATGGCTTTTGATACATTATTCTCATTTTAAAAGTTAATGAAATGTATGCGTTACCTTTTATGTTACAAAAGTAGCTATCAAAAAAACTAAGTTGGGAGGGGGTAAAAAAATTGTGAAAAATTGAGATCATAAATCATTATTGTAAAAAAACTCAATGAAAAAAAAAATTGTCTTATCAAACCTTATGAGATATTGAGTGGTACACTATAAAATGATCATCTTATATATGTTTAACAGCTATGAAAGAGGGACTTAATATTATTCACAAACATTTATACAGTACCATTGAGTATATTGTATACAATGTCTACTCGATGATGGTACATAGTGAAGTTTGCTCATTCTTTTATTATTATTATTGTTGTAATTTTTGTAAGCTTAACTATTAAGCTATTGTAACTAATTTTGTTTGATATATTATGTACAATGTCGTTTGGGCAACCCTAAAACCGGACAGTTTGCCTTTTGTAAGTTGTAACTTGTATCTCTCTATAATATTAATTTAATATTCAAATTTTAATTATTTCAAGTTTGTATAGATAAGTGATAACATAATCTTCCAATCGACCTCCGCCCTGGCAATGCGCTTGGACGGTGTGAACAGTGTAGCCAACGGTACAATAATTCTTGTACAATGTTTACAGCTTGATCGACCGTTAAAAAACGGACACAAATCATAACGCCTTGTATATTGATAAAAGAAAAATTGCTAAGAAAATATACAGCCGTCTCCGGCGTTTGTGTTCAGTGTAAAGGCGGTAAATCGTTTCCGTTCTATTGTTTGGTTAAGACGTGAGGCGTACACGCGAATACAATATTATTATTATTATTCGAATCGAGCAGTCGGTGTGTGTAATTTATCGGTGCCCGCTTTAATGTAAAACATTTAACTCGAACCGTTAACATTGTTTCAAGGCTATCGTCGACCGTTTGTAATAATAATTAATATTATTTTGCACGCTCAACAACAATTATAAGTAGTTTTTGTTGTTTGTAAATCGAACCGAAAAAATACCAATTTCCAAATGGACGAGTTCATAGAGGTAAAATCAATTTTTGTCGTTTCGCAGTTGTAATGCAGTGGTTTACCTATTTTTTTTTTTCACCCCTCAGAGAATGAAGTCTCGGACCAACGCCAGGCAGGAGCTTCTGCAATCGCTCAAAGTCAAAAATCAAGAATCGGAAATGTCTGTCGACGAACCCGAACCGGAACCTGAATCGGAAACTGATTGCGTTGTTACTAAATCACTATTGAGAGATCGCACCAAAACTATCCTCAATCGCCTTGGAGCACTTCATTCGGGTAACTTGTTTACATTGTCTTTACGATTCCCGAACGAGTTTCACAGTCTCGTTAAGTATGAACTAAAATTAATTTCGCTGCTCGGAAAATATGTACCTGTCATTATCATGTCCGAATGTAGGCTATAACTCGATTGCATACACGATAATTGAATAGCCCGTAAAGTTATACCGAAAACAATCTAATTTACCAATGTACAGTGCTGAAAACGCTCCCTATAAATTACTAGATGGGTTCAAATTTTCATTGTGGCGTAGGATCGTTTGATTTTTTAGACATTATGAAGATTTATTTATTAAAATGAAAACATTTCAATTTATGTACTAAATGTAGCAGCTCAATGGGTTGATTTTTGATATTAAGCTATTTTAAAATAGTCAATTATACTTAATTATACCAAGAATCTGTTTGTAACTAATGATAGTAAAAAAGCACAACAGATTTTTGTAATTAAATATTTTTTGCCAAATTACCAAAATTTAGGTGACAATTATCAACTTTTGAATAACACTTTTTTTTTAAAGTATCAAAAATAAATGATATATTTAAATACATTTCCATTTTTGTATAATCATTTCTCATGCTTAAAATTGCTTGTTTTAATACTGTATTTGAACAAGCGTAGGTAATTTTAAATAATGCATGAATACAATTATCTTTGAAATGATCCTTTTATTTACTAACTACATTATGATTTGTAAATACAATATGTCGGGGAAAAAAAATTGCGCTATATCACTAACTGATATGTTTTTTCTGTGATAGAAGTTAGGTAAATATATTTAATAAAATAATTAAAATTGGTGAATATTGTTGTTGATTAATTAAAAGTGTTTTGTCCATATTAGATACAGATCAACTAAATCTGTCATCTCCTGTTCATGCAGTCCACGATATTGTACTAGGCAATGAGCAAGAAAACAGGAATAATGATAATCAAGAACTCAAGCAAACCAGTTGCAAACTGAAGAAACTTTCGCAATTGGTTAGTAAGGTTAATGAATGGCAAGAAAATGACATTCAAACTTTCCAGACAAACAGCAAGGATAAAAAAGATATTCTACCGGTTTGTACTTATTATAATGAAATTTTCTATTTAACAATGGAATACACTTTTATTATTTCATTATGTTTAGGAAAAAACTACCGTGTCTGCAGCCAGTTGTATTTCATCCCCAGTAAAAAATAAAACCAATGACAAAAAAACTGATGCCAGAACAAAAACTAAATGCACGGTAACGTTTGCGCCCACGGTTTCTTCAATACAAATTGAAAAACGTCCCATTATGTCTTCTCCTAAAAAAATAACGCCGGTTTTACCTAAACCCGCATCACTCAATACCACGGCAAACTTTAAATCTACTTCGAGTCCTAAAAAAGTCGACGGTCCTTGGCAACTTTCTGTGGCTGAACGTAAAGAAATGTTTGAAAAGCAAATTTCTAATGGTGGGTTGGCTGCTCCAGCTCCTGTAACGACGTACAAACCCCAAGTCAAAGATCACCAGCAAGATGTGAAAACAAAAACTTTGAACATAGAAGCTAATAAATGCGCTAAACCGCGTGTAGACGATAAGCCACAAGTAAAAAATGTCATTTTAAAACGAACCAACTTTAACAATCCAAGTTGTGTTACGAAGGCGGACAGTGACACGAAACATTTGCCGAGAACAGAGTTCACTTGCACAGGCCACGAACAGTTCAACCAACAAGAAGTTCATACACCACGGACAATTGACGACCATCCAAAAGTATGCAGTCCTGCAAAAACGCCACCGTCATCAGGTAAAAAATATATTGTATTTACGATTAATGTATTTTTCTAAATAGATATAAAAATACAGTAACATAAATTTTCAATGTCGTATTTATATTTGTAAAAATGTTTATCTTTTGTTTTGTTTTTTTTTTTTACATATTTTCCTGACAATAGCTTACACTAGGAGTAGTAGTGCGGTTTCGTTATTGAACGATGTTAAGATCGTTATAGCCACGCCTCCAAAACCCGGTTGCTTATACCCAAACATATCTTTTGGCTCGGATGAAAATGATCTGGACAACCAATCGGAAGAAGAACCCATGAGTACCGACGTAGCAGAAAAATATTGTAACACGAATGATATTTCTCCAATTGTATCTGGCGATGCAAATAACGATAATATCAGCAACCGACCAAAAAAAGTAAACTATACATTTAAAAATAATTGTTTACAGCTATTGTTTTTAAGATCAAGTGGTGTGATTGTTCATAAATGTAGATTTTTCTCAATCATTTATTTCATTTCAGTACGTCTTGTACATTTATTGAATTAATAATGCCTATACTTTTTTAGAGACATATCAGCGCCATATTAAATAATACGGATGGGTCGAGTACTTCAAGTTTGGCAACAATAAATGGAGATGATGAAGAGCATGATGATTATTTGGCCGACAATGCTGACGTAAAACGTACCAAAAATAACGATACGCAGGATGTATTGAATTATTCTTCCATAACAGATTTTGTAAGTTATCAAAACTAGTTTTAAAAAAAACTAGTTTAAAATTAATAAATAAATTATTATTGTTATATTCAATAAGGACTCGCCGATTATTGGTCTCCGTTCGGTTGCAAATACTAGTGTATTGGGAAGTCCACTTCATTCTTCGAGCTTTACCTATATTAATCATACTAAAAACGAAGAAATTCAAATACCGACTGGTGGTGCTCCCTCTTTAGTCCATACAGTTAGTACATACCGAAAACAACAGCAACAACAATTGAAAGTTAGTATAGGCATTTGATTTTATTAGTGTAACAACCGTTAGTTTAATTTTTTACCTTAACATATTTATTTATGTTATTATTTTAGCCATCGGCTATGGTTATTAGACGTACAGCGGCTACAAAAGATCATTTTAAAGAGTCCGATGAAGAAAATATCGACGAGCACGATAAAGAGTCCGATGACGAGGATGAACTCGACCGTGTGGTCGAAAGAGTACACGAGCTGGAAGCTCAGGTAACGATAGTTCATTTCTACAACAATTTTACACCATTCTAACAAATTGTATTGTATGTGGTTTTATCAGATACCTGTTCAAGAGGCAAGGATAGCACAGGCAACTCAAGCGCTTAATTTGTGTCAAGCAACAACTGAGTTTGCTGGTTCTTCTGAACAAGTGGAAGCCGAACGTGTCTTGTTACTTGCAGGTATAGTATTTGAAAATTTTTAAAGTATATTAGTATTTATAATTGAGTTTTTATCGACTAGGATTGAAACGCAACGCCTGTCTAATGGAAGCACAACGTTTGCGTGTTGAAAAAACGCTATTGCCGAAAGGGCAAGGATCCAAATCACACATATTGAAATCATCGTCGTCTGTTACTTCATCACTCCTCATAAAGGACTTGTCCATACCAATACGTTGGGATTACATTCGGAATATTTCTATAAGAGGTTTGTTAAATCCAGACATTCTCAAAAATTAGTTAAATATCTTTTTTTGTATTTTAATTTATTTCAGTTGCAAAGCATTATTCAGTATAACTTTATTTTTAAATTTGTAATTTTTTCCCCCTTTTACAGAAGACAAGAGATGTCATTTTGTGTGTGCGGTACAGTGTAGCGGAGTTTCCGCGGCTACTGCACAAGTCATAGCCACAAAGAGCGTTGAAGCTTCTTATACAGGCAACGGTAATCGTTGTGGCAACAATTCCGGTACATCTGGTATTCCCGTCGGATACATAGAGTTCCCTGAGGAATTGCGTGTGGATTTAGGGAATGTCGATGAAAAAGAAGTCGATCAAGACTTTAAGTGCACTGTGGAAGTTTATGGCCTGGTGGTTGATCATAATAAAAACAACAGTTCTGATAAATTCGGGGCTTCGTCGTCTTCACATCATTCACATACAGTATGTTTCTCAAATATGAACACAGACGAATATTGTGTTTGTGTACAAATTAAAAACTTTTACTCGTTTCCTAAACAGCGTGGTGACAGCAAGTTTTGGTTTACTCCGACTAAACACAGCAAAAAGAAAAACTCGGCATTCCACGGTGGAAATATCGAATCGCCGGGCGGACCTGCCGCCGTACGGTCAACGTCCTTCCAACTGTTAGGGTATTTTGTATTTTCCAAACGAGAACTGCGTAGGACACAGTTTACTCTCAGCAAAGTATGTACAAATACGATCTACTCGCAAACGGTGCAATTGTCGTTACATTTATTTGAAACTTATTTACAGGTGCAATATGACGGTCCGTTGTCGGAAGGTGTTGTTCGCGTTAAGTTGGAATTGGAAGACAACGAAGACTCCAATGAAGACACTATATTGGAAAGTTTGACTCATGAGGGATTTTTGACCATGTTCAATGACGTCAGCGGTTTGGGCGCGTGGTATAGGCGATGGTTCAAATTGCGCAACGGTCTTCTGTCGTATTGGAAATATCCCGATCACGCCGACGACGAAACAAAAGTAAAACATAATTTGAGATGAGATGTTTTTTGCTAACAACGCGTACTTAAACGATAGTTAAATTTATCGAATATTCCAGATACCTATCGACACTATAGACCTCGGTCAATGTATCACACAACAAATCGGTCCGTGCAACGTAGAACTGTGTGCCAGGCCAAACACTTTGCTTTTGGAATGCACTCGGCCGTTGTGTAAAAACGATGGCAATTGTGATTCGTTAATAACACGCACAGACCCTCGTACGGGTCAAACGACAATCAGGTAAGAAAATTAAAAAAAATGTACAGTATGATTTAGGTTTTCAAACACTGAACACGTTTGTCGTGAGTTGACCATACAAATATCTTGCGTTATAATTATTGGGTTTTTTTTTTTTTTTTTTTAGAAATTTATTGTCGGCAGACACTAAACAAGAACGTCAAGAGTGGTGTGACAAAATAAATTCTACTTTGACGGTTTTGAACCGACGACAACAACGATTGCAAAAAAAAACTGAAAGAAATCGTAAAAAATAATCGCAGTTTATATATATATATATTTATTACGTATACTATATTTTATAATTTATATTACTACTAAATTATATATATATATATATAAATACGCATAATTTGATATTTTTTACATAATTTTATAAGATTTTAATTTTTAACTATTAACATTAATATATATATTTTTTTTTTACGTGTGTTGAAGTATCAAACGAATGTTATTAACTGAGTACATCCATTTTAAATATCTTAATTTACTTACTTTATCTTTTACTTTTGAGTTTATATTTTGCTATTATTATTACTTATTATTTTTGATACGTTAACTAATAGTTTGTATGTACAAATAATTTATATGTTATATTTAAGAATAGAAATATTTAGCGATACTAAACAATTTGAATATCTAATTTTTTTTTACCAAATACATTTTTTTTATAACAATACTAATTAATATAGTTAAACAGAATTTTTTTTTCATTGACTTCCATAGTTTATTTGCTAGAACTGTAGAAACACTATGTTGCCTTTGTTTTAGATAAAAAAAAAACTGGGTTAACGCATGAAATATTTTTATATTAACGAGTTAAATTGAGCGATCACATAATAACTTGGAATAACAAAAACAAAAGTATAAAATATTTTATGTACACCGTAAAATAATTTGCTAATTGACTAAAATTGTACACTGAACACAAAATAAATTATAATTTACAGCGCCGAACCGACCTGGACCGTACGATATCTGATTTCACTAGCGCCTGAACAAGTTATAAACAAAAAAGTCCAAAGGTTAGTATAATACTTCATTAGGTTTCAACGTATCCAAAGGCTTTACGCGTATCATATTAAATAGATACGACTGTTCGGTATTGTCCACTTGAATTTCTTCTTTACTGTTTACAACCTGAAAAAATATATCAAATAGTACAGTATTTGAGCGTTGCCGTTTGGTTTCAACAATTTGATCAGTCTTACTTCTTGTAAACTAACTAAAGGTTCGCACACTCCATTTTTTTGTAATATTTCCTCTTTATGTCTGACTATATGAAGCATATATATGTCTTTTCGTATCGTTTTAAATTTGCACATATCGCAGCTGTACATGAAACCGTCGTCTAGTCCTGGAAAAAATAAATGCAAAATATATAGACAACAATGTAGTATTCAGATTTCCTGGCAAAAGCAAAGTTTAGCTCCAAACGATTTTCTGATTTTTTTTTTAAACTGAAAACAGTAGTTGAGTGTAAATTTGTTAAATTTACATTTCTCAAAAAAATACATTTATTTAAAAAACAAAAAGGGGTTGTTGGACACTTAGAAAGGCGACAAATACAGAAATTGAAAAGTGTACTTATTTTTAAAATTAAAATAAAAAATTTCATACTTAAACGTTGTGAAAATTTGGCTCAAACATTTGTTTTTTTAATCTATTCGTATTTAAATTGGAATGTTTTTAGCGAGGTCAAAAGTTACTTGTCTTGGTTTCTTTTAAAAAAAATAGTTTTATAATTAATTTACCAATACTACCTACTTTTGTCAGGATGGGATTAATAAGTAATTAAATTAAATGTAAGTAAAACTTACATAATATATACGAGTTAAACAAGTTTTGAATCTTACCACTGTCATATTATTTTATCAACAAAAAAAAAAATGTATTTCAAATTACAATAGTTGGGTTATAAAATTATGCATAATATCAAGGAAGTAAGTATTAATACAATTTTTTTTTTTTAATGAGTCATAAGTGAAAAAGTTATTAAGAAGATAAGTTACTTCTGCCTTAACCAATTAGATTTTTGCTTTTTTACTTAAAAGTAAAATATATGATACCCAATTTCTGTTTTTGTCATATTTACAAGTGCCAAACATTTTATAATTTGCTTAGTTAAATGTCAAAATTTGACAAAGTAAATAAGTTATTGTTTGTTGCTTTAAAATTAAGTCTGACCGACAAACCTGATGTTTGAAGGTAGGAGAAATGTTTAAAAAAAATACCTTGGGAGCTAAGCTGCATCGTAACGTTACAAAGGACGATACGTAAGAGTAGCCGCTATATTTTGTATAAACGTCCAACGTCTCACACATTAGCTGCACACAGGCTTAAGTTTTGTTGTACATTTTTACTCAAAGACGTTAATCACATTTGGCACAATACCTGGATGTTTGGTGTTCAAATGTTTCTTGTACGAGGTGGCTTGAATACAAGAGTAACTACAGTGTGGACACGTGTAGTTCTTCTGGCCCGTGTGTCTCATTTTGTGTTTCCTCAAGGTGTTATGATCCGCCGTACAAAATCCACATTCGTCGCATTTGAACGGCTTCTCGCCGGTGTGCGATCGCATGTGTAACCTCAGCGAACTGGCAACGGCCGTTTTATAACCGCAGACGTCACAGGAAAACGGTCGAGCTTTGTTGTGTATACTACTTATGTGCTGGTGTAGCAGGCTTTTGGACGAGAACGTTTGAGAACAATGTAAACACGTCAAATCTGTCCTCAACGGTTTGTCGCTTTTAGTATGTATTATCTGAACAGAACAAGAATGCGTATCGTACAAATAAAATACATAAAAATTATGAACATTTTATAAAAATTATGATTTTCCTAGGTTTTTGTTTTTATACAAACTGTTTAAAAAACCTGATTTTACTTACTTTGTGGTTTCTCAATTGTTTGACCGATTTAAAGCCCTTGCCGCATTCTGTACACAAAAATGGCCTTTCTTCTTGATGAATATTCTTATGAAAACTATTCAGTTTGTACAGACTGAAATTAAAATGGTAAATTAATATTTTTATTAGGTAAACGGTTAATTTTGATAACGTTCGACCTAGTACGTTAAGTAATAATGAAGACGTAATCGAGTTTAAGTGTATTTTACATACCTATTTGTTTTAAAATTACATTTGTCGCAACTAAACATTTCTATGTCGATATTATGTGTTTTCCACAAGTGCGACATCATTGTAGTCCATTTTCTGTCTGTGAACTGGCATTCGAATTCGTTGCATCGAAATCCATCATCGGAATGACAATGTTTATGATATTTTAAGTTCTCTTCGGATCTAAACCTCAATTTGCAGTTGCCAAAAGTACACCTGGAATTTTTTAAATATACAATGTAGGCATTGTTAATAACTTGAGGAAAATGAAAAAATGATAAAAATACGGTATTGAGAAGAGCCGTAATGTGTGACTACCGACCTGAAAGGCTTATCCACAGAATTTGAATCGTTTATTATATTACTTGTATCTTGGTATTCGCTAAATACTACTTGCTGAGAATCCCAAAAAGTAACCAAAGTTTCATTTTGATGGCAATTATTGTCTTTGAAATTGTTATCTTCTGCAAAAATATACACAATTTTTTTTTTTTTTTTTGATAATAGGTTATGACAAATATTGTAAAGCAAATAATTTGTCAACCTGTAGTTTGTTTTTGTGGTTCTTCGAACTGCGACTGTAGGTCAAATTGATGATCGTCTAATATTGTATCGTTTATATCGTCCAAGTTGTTATCTATTCGAGGCATGTCACCTATATAAAAAAAAAATAAACAATAACATACGCAATTTCATCAGGTTTGTCGCGTTTAAAGTTGTAATTGTTTACCGTTTTCTAAAACTAACGTTTCTTCCTTGTTGGCTTCGATAACTAACTGTACCATTTCTTCGATCTCGCCGGGCAACACGTCGTGGTCTTCGATTAAATGACACTACAACACAAAATGTTAATAGAACAGCTGTTGGTAAGATATATTTTAATCAATAAATGTTCAATGACCAAATTCAGTTGAATCATATTTACCCTGAGCACGTTAACCGAATAGAACACGTTATCACATCCAATGCACTTAGTTTTCAGCAAAGACTTGAGAGGTAAATGATGAAAATTATGGTCTTTTTCGTTATGTTCCAAAAACAGTTTGACGTTTAAACACAGAAACGGGCACGACTCGCAAGAGTAAAACCCCGACCCTTTGATTATTTTATAATTGATAGCAGGTTTTCTCGTTTCCTCTTTACATATCGTATTTTGATTGTCGGAAAAGTCGCGGAAAATATCCGACATTTGACTGTTGCTGATTTCCAATAGTTCATTGCCGTTAGTGTTTGGGGTGTTGATGTCGAATTCGGATTGCAAGTCCCACAAGTTTTCCAATAGGTTGTGTTGGAAATTTGTCGTTTCCACCGGGTTGGATATTAGTTTTTCGTTCGGTATCACCCGCAGCCGTTGAGCGACAAGTCGGTTCCTATCGACTAGCCTTAACGTTTGATTCGAAGACTGGTTTCCGATTGACGACAACATCATAGTGTTTGAGATGCAACTTTAATCGTTCAAATCATAATACAAATGGTATATTTCAGTTTGCTTAGGTAGTCCGTTTAAATTCGCATTTAAACAACGGCGCGAACAAAATTAATCACATTTTTTAAAATTTGTTTTATACAAAATTAATACTTTTTAATTTCTAAATTAAAACTCGACACACTTGTAAGCTAATAGTATTATTATTTTCAATATTAGGATGTAGTACCTACACAGAAAATACCACAATATGATTGATAATTTACCAATCACAAATAAATGATAAGAAAAATGTTAGATGATAGTAGCTATGGAGGTATAGTTATTATCACAGATATATTATACAATAAACTAGATTGCTAACTGTACACGATACCAATAGAGCCTATTCATTATTAGCCTGTATCTTTTTTTTATTTACAAATACTTAAAATTAAATTTCTCCTTTTTTTTTTTTAATAAAATAAAATAATTTCGTTTAGCAAATTACCAGGCGTTAATCCCTTCGCTGGATCGATTTGGGTTTTGAACTGGGCTAAAACATTCTTTTTTTTTATAATTTGATCAAAAGATCTTACAAAATATAGTATGTATAATTTGATAATATAGTTATAATATATATAATACAATATAATTGTGTTATAGTTAATTATTTATTTATATGTATAATGCATATATATATATATATAATTATGTATATATAACTACCTGCTGAAGAGGTTTATCATTTTTACGGACCATTTTTTTTAACTCGCTCATATAATTCTCAAATTTAAAACAACTTGCATTGTCAAGACGGCCATAATTTTCATAATCTTCATATAAATGAATTGGTGAATGAATATTGTGAGAAATAAAGTGTTCTCCGTACAAAGAACCGAAGTCTTTGACAAAATCATACATAAATGATTTTGCAAATTGTGCTAAGTAATTATAATTAGGACTTAAAAATACAGTCATTGCAATATTTAAGTATAAAAAAATGTTGATAAACTGTATTAGGATGAATTGTATTTGTAATTATTACTACTTTCTGGCTTGCATCTGCCCCATTAAATACCAATGGGAAAAACTGACTGATTTATTTGTTTAATATATCCTAATATTGGCCAAAAGCAACTACCCGAACTTTTAGACAACGGTAAGCCATCTACTCCAATGACCAAATGTATAGTGTCACTCACAAAGTTTTTATTTAAATATTTTTTCAAGTTATTTGATTCAAGTTATTAAATGATAGTAAATACCAGGGGGGACTTGTTTTACTTCAATAGCAGTATTATAAGAAACCCCATATTGAGTTTTATACAAAGTTCTACTAGTTACAGGAATATCATCAAAACATTCGTGTTTTTTAAAAATGTTTAGTAAGTCATCTACACTTTTATTTGGTACATTGTATTCAATTGTCCATTTAACTAAATCATAAACATAACTTGTAATATTTGTGATAATATATTATTGGGTCATGCCATGCCAAATCACCTGATGTGTGTGCGAGCGGATCTTTGAAATGTCTCACTTACATATTATCCTATGCAAATAGTTCCATAAAATCAGAAAAGTGAAGAAAACTTACGGTTGAACCCCCAAAACCACCAACGCCCCTGTATTTGAAACAACATAATTTTATTTATGTTCCCTTTAGTTCTTACTTTGATTGGCATCAACGGTTTCTATCAATATTATTATCAATATATAATATTCAATTCCTTCAAAATTGTTTTCCAACAATATTTGTAGTTCAGTTTCCAAAGCATTGACATTATCCGCTGTAGGAGAACTTAAATTAGGAACCAACCGTTACTTGAAAAAAATATCTTTTTTTAGTTCGGTTGAGTCTATTATATCAATACAATAATAATTAATACTATGTGTATAATTTTAGCGTAACAATAATATAATAGTTGAAAATGATTTAAAAATTATACTTACTAGAAACAGTTACAGCATAGTACTAGGTCTGTAGATTTTTGAATGTAGGTACTTTTTAAACAATACCATTTAAACTAAAAACGTTTATGTAGGTATTAAACATCAATTGAAAATCTTAATACATAATTTGTTTATATTTAAGATGAAGTTGACAGCTTTATCTTTAATCTTCCTCGTTGTAATTTATTTCATTTGTGTTTAACGGTAATAATGTTAATAATTCTTGTTCTTCTGTTTGGGGATATCACAGTTTGTCGAGAGTGAAGTATAATTGTTTAAGATTGGCAAACATTTGGAAAATTGGTTAGTTTTTTATAGAAAAAAATCCCAAAATTGTTTTTCTGTATAAATCAATTAGTATACAAAATTGTTGGACATATTTTATTCCTCCTTGTAATTATTTTATCTCCTTGGCTTTATGTTGCTGTCGGAAGCTCTATGTAAATTATTTTACTATAAACTTTTTACTTTGTTGATTGCAATAACTGGCTACAATTTTATGAGTTGCTACGTAGTTAGGTAATGTTATTTTATATAAATGTTTTTCATTAAACACAGCCTACGTGACGTTTCCACTGTGAGGATGAAATTTAAAATTTCTAAAAGCCATTTTTTTCTTTTTTTACCGAATCGAAAAACAGGAAAAGGGATCATACTCGAAGTATGCATTTATGTTTGTTAAAGGTACATTATTTTTGTATTAATTGTTATTAAATTACTGTGTGTTGTATACTTGTTTAAAACTTGACGGTTATAACTTATTATGGCCGACATTATTATATTATTTGTATTTTACATTTTTGTGTAAAATATGCACATTTTTGCACAAATATGCTTTTATTTACCTATTATTGTTGTTGTTATAGTAGTTTTCAATATAAATAAATATTGCTTGCTAAAAATAGTTAAATATGTAACAGTTTATCATTTTCTATTGTAAGATATTTTCTATATTATTAAATACATACAATTACAATTTATTAGGAACTTTAAAAAGATAAAACGATAATAAATGATAATATGAAAGTGTTTTTTTCACAATTATAGATGCCAAACGCAACTATGTAAACTGGCGGTCCTAAAAAATGCAACACAGATACAATTATGTTCCGGTCGCTCATAACGAGGTCAGATTTTTTTATAATTTTTATAAATTCTAACTGTATTTATAAAAATTTAAACTTGACTTGCCTACATTTACAGCTGTGGCCTCCACCTAGACTGTAGCCGGCAAACCTAGGATGTTACCTTTTTTTCATATATACATAATACTTCTAAAACTTAATATTTATAGTTAAATTTCAACGTTATTACAGTTTGTTTAAGATTGGCAAAAATTTGGAAAATTGGTTAGTTTTTTACAGAAAAAATCCCAAAAATGTTTTTCTTGTATAAAACAAATAGTTGGACATATTTTAATCCTCCTTGTAATTATTTTATTTCCTTGGCTTTATGTTGTTACCGGAAGGTCTATGTAAATTATTTTACTATAAACCTTTTACTTTGTTGATTGCATTAACTGGCTACAAATTTATGAGTTGCTACGTAGTTAGGTAATGTTATGTTCTATAAATATTTTTCATTCAACACAATCTACGTGACTTTTCCACTGTGAAGATGAAATTTAAAATTACTTAAAGCCATTTTTTCTTTTTTTACCGAATCGAAAAACAGGAAAAGGGTTCATACTCGAAGGCTCGGAGGTATGCATTTATATTTATTTAAGGTATTTTATTTTTTAAAAAGTTATCTCCACCTAGACTATAGCCGGCATACCTAGGATGTTACCTTTTTTTCATATATACATAATATTTATATAAATCCTATAAAGATATTATCACATATTATTAAATATTTTCACCCGTTGTTTCTAAGAAAACTATTACAACTTATAATATTTGAAAATAGGTAAATAAAACACAATTATTTTCATTAGAATTTATCAAACAGTATATTCTTTTATGATTTACCTATTATTATTGTTGCTATAGTAGTTCCAAATATAAATAAATATTAATCGTTAAAAATAGTTCATTAGTAACATTGTTAAACAAATCATCCAGCATTAATTATTAATTTTTATTTTGCCTTTTTCCTTGTTTATGATTCTATGTTTCATTAGCACCTGTAATCGTTATAAATAAATATATGTACAGTATAATGGATAGTTAATCGTTAAAAAAAATCATGTGAACACCATGTGTAACACAAATTGGTTCTTAGTGGCTTATACATTATAGTAAAAACATTTTTTTTCTATTAAATTCGTTTGTTTTAAATGGTATTAAATATTTCCATATTTGTATTAAACCGAATGTGATTTAATCACGATAAAACGCTTTGATGAGAATTCAGAAATACTAAGAATCCAGCACAGTCCAATCTCTATGAATGGCGCAAATCCAAATAATGATAAAGTACTCATCACTATTACTCATAACTAGTTGTTAGACGGAGACTGGCAGTTATTAAACACAGAATGTGTTTGCTGTTTTTGTATTATAAAAGTTAGGCTAAGATATAAATTGCTTTTCGACTTTTTTCAGGGCATAACTACAATATTTTCATACAAAGAGGTGGTTGTGTCAATGAATTTTTAACCGATAATATTATATTATATTTTATAAAATGAGCTGGTAGTACTTGGTCAGATATGTTGGAAGACATATACCGTCCAGTACGTGCAGAACGAAAATAATGGTTGTACTCATTCAATGGAAAACCGATCTGTACTTAGATGAGTATGTTCACAGACATGCGGCTGGTACTCGGTTTTTAATAACACTCTAGTCGAGTATATCACAATAAGGGGTTAGTATAGTGGAGTTGGACCACTATTAGAGACCATCTAGTTCAGATGTATAAATACTATTTGAAGGAAATCAGACAAATGTCGGTCGTTACCTACCATAACAACGAGCTCTTTTACACAACCCTTCAAGTTATAAGACAACTTCTAAGTGTTGTTACAGATAGGTAAAATTGATATATAGATAAAAGTCTCTTCCAAAGTCTGTTGAGCAACTCAACTTCAGATAGTGATTTCACTCCTGTTAGTGAGCTCTAATTTGATTTGCCTTTGTTCATATCAGTCTTGATGATGTTGAGTTAAATTTACCTAGACTAGCCAACGTTAAGGCAGTTGTTCCTGATGGCTTTCCTGGATATTTCCAGAATATAATAAGGATGTCCAGGGATCAGTGTGGCACCTAAAGGGTTCCAGTTTATTACATTGAAGGGCATAAAAGTATTTTATTTGTTGGTGTATTTGATACATTTTACAGTAGT